TTGGAGAGATGAATGCGGAGAAGTTGGTGTAAAAGGCGTAGCGGGAGGAGGCTAGTAGGTGGGGAGGAGGAGGGTGTGGTGCTGGTGGTTTGGAAGAAGGTGGAGGAGGAGATGCACTGGAAGGAGGAAGAGGGATGGAGGTGGACCGGTGACGGAGCGCCGTGGGTCGCCCGTGGGGGAGTGGCCAGTGCGCGCGGTCAGCGTGGTCCGGCGCGGGCCGCCAGCAAACGAATGCACCCTGTCGGTCGCGACAAAGCGCGAGGGCGCCAGATTACTCTCTCTGCGACGCGGCCCCGATACACCTCCTCTCTTACTCTGCAAATCCGCGCCATTTATCGATACCGACAGAGGATAAAATTTATTTCACTCTTCCAAACTGTATTATCGCCGCCTTCCACTCTGTATCCTTTCATCTGTTAAAATTTCCTTTCATTTTCTCTTCTCTTCTCCTTCTGGTTTTGTTACTCGACCAAACTTTACAGTTCTCTTCCTTTAATTCGACACATTCTAAGTTTTGTACTATTTTTTTAACTTATTCATCAAAAAATTTCTACTCCTGAATTTCTACGAGCGAACAACTTCGGAAAATGTTAAAGAAACATTTTCATTACAAAATTATGTATATTATATTTCAATTAACTATTCCAAAGAAAAGTTTCAAAAGCTACTCGATTAAATATCCGTGTTATTAAATATAGGGAACAGCTCATATAATCCTTATGGGATTAAATAAGTTGATAAATAACTTTTTTCCAACGTCTTGATACTTAATCACGAAACTGGGATATTTGTGAATTACCAAGAAATTATTGAAGTGAAGCTTAGGCCGTGAATACTCTAAATCCACCGAAAGTGAAACGCGTGGTTCCCCAGGGCCGTAAGTTGAACAGAGGAGGCCCTTCAACCGATTCAGTGTGCGACCTCCATGATTAATTTAATTTCGTGATTATAAACTGAACTTTAGGAACGAAAACATTTATTACAATACACTATTAGAGAAAATAAATTATTATTTTTGCAATTTAATGATGCAAATTAAAATTTAAATTTTGGTCTTTTCTTTGCATTTACACATTTATTTCTAATAGCAGAAATATTATTTTTCAACCAGTTCGAATTTTGTGTTCAATGCATAAAATTCATAAATTACTCAGATGATCTTGTGCAATTTTACTTCTTAAATTTTTAATTATAAAGTGTTATTTCTGGAGTTTCATTTCACTGCGAATTTATTGAACACAGGACGCAGCGACTTTTCCTTTTACTTTAATATATTTAGGAAAAAGCTAATTTGAGAGTTAGACGTAAATAGAAAGAACATTAAAAAATGTAAATGATCATATTCCACGCTTCTTTGTGCACAATAAAGATAAAATGCTGTAAAAATGAATTTCGGAAGTGACAGAATTGTTTTCCTGCTGAGAAATGTAACGTGCAACACTCTAAAATGTGATAAATGTAAATGTGCCACTTTAAATGTGATAAATAACCTTTCTGGTCAACATTAAAATAAATTTTGCTATGAAGTAAAAACTGCCATGACATCGGTCTTGATTTTTCTATTTCAATTTCTTTATATTCTTTCACAATAAATATTCCTAAAATATTTCTGTAAGTATTATGGCGAAAAAACAATTGTTTCAACCTGGGAAGCTTAAGTCTTTTAAAAAAGGAGATTTTTTTTTTCTTTTCTAAGTACGTAATCTCATATTTTTGCAAACTTGCATATTATTTCTTTACATACATAAACCGTAGATCTACTTCATAATTTTTTAGTTGAAGTACAGAATATGAGTAGTTCACGATAGAATCTTTTAGAAGACGCAGTGTTAAGTTATGAGGGCTGCCGCAGTTTGCGCTTGGAGCGTCGAATTTCGCCTGACCTTGCGCCCACTGCATTGTGGGGCTTCAAGGGACAATACTGACGCATCTTTTGGGGTGAACGTCCCTTGCTGCGTTGCTATGTCTTCGGCGAATGTGTTTCCGAGACTTTACAGCTGCTTTCTTTGCGAAAGCGCGAGCCGGCTTCCCTTGCCTCTCGCATCCCATTTTCGTTTTTCTTCTCTCAGTGAGATGTAGTATCAACGTCGTTCTCCACTCTCTCCTTTCTAGCACATGGCGATGCTGTCTAATGCTTTGCTCTTGGAAACAAGTGCACGCCTTTCTGAAAGATATGAAAAACTGGTTGATAGATGAAAGAGTTGTTTACGTAATATCCTCGTCTATTTTGTGCTGTGTGCTTTCATTCTATGGCGATAAAACGGAAACAGTCCACGAATATATTATCTTCAAAGCCTTTCATTTATAGGTTGAAAAACTAATATGACTATTAATGGACCGTAAAATGCAAGCTCGGACATGAATATTAAAATGTTCTAATTGCACATATCTTCATAATATTGTTATATAGAGACCTGGCAGACTGGAATCATATTTGTGGTGCCTCTGATGGGAAAGTTCTGAGGTCCCGACAGTGGCAGGATTTTTGACAATAGTTACACTACTGGGTCGAATTCAGGCGCTATCTGAAGTAGAATTCTGGCGGCAGGCCGCCTGGTCTGATCTTCCGTCGTTTTTCCGATCAACATCAGGCGAACGCCGGAGCAGTTCCTTAATAAAAGGGCCACTTACAGCGCGAGATCTTCCCTTCCTCTTCCTGGTCCTTTCCTCGCCTCCTTCTTATACACTACATTACCACACGTGTCTGGACATCAGTAGGGAGCTTTAAGCTTGTCCGGACTGGGGCGAAACCTCGCAAGTGGTAGATTCCTGGTTGGGGAAAATCCCCTCAAGCTGACATAGGTCGGCGCCGGGTCTCGCTATCCAGTGAAGGAAGATCAACGCCACCTCCAGGATTTAAAAAAAATCACTGCATTTGCGTGACTAATGACCTTAGTAGTGAATGCACCCCGAATCACCAATCAATAGTTGCGTTTGAAATCTTCACCTACTGTAGTCAACGAGAGCGTTTTGAATAATATAACGTTCACATCCCGAAGACGTGACAGCGAAACGTCTGTAATAGGGAATTCACAGACTCCTCTAATGGGGGTGTTAAGTACTTGGAACAAGAAATAGGCGTGCACGTCCAATCGCATTTCACTTGGCCAGACGTTCAGCGGCACGTGGGGAGTGGGTGGGCCCTCTCCCTAGCGGAGTTCGATCCGCCATTCAAATGAGGGCGACACGCACATTCCTCTGCCGGAGTTGGGTCACGGTGGCGCGGCCGGGGCGACCCGACGGGCGCGCTCCGGGGTCGTTCCTTATCTGGGAGCTCCCAGATATCTCCGTAGTCCCGGAGTTCGCCGAGGGCACTTGTGGAGTATGGAGTAGACAGTTCTTGCGTATGGACCAGACCCTTCCCGTTCTCCCCTTCCCATATTTCATTGCTCGGCCTACAATAAAAACTCGGCAAGGGCATTGTGGGTTGCTGGTTTTCCGATGTTGTTACGTAGCTGGGTCTGGCGATGCCTCTGCCTGAATGAAAATTATAGACGCCTGCCCTTATGATTTTGTCCGTGGTTTCGTGTAATTAATTCCACGCGCGGGAAGGAGCAGTTTAAAAGAACGGGTCACAAGAAGCTTTGAACGTACTGCCCCTTTTCCACATTAGAATCAGGCGATAGGTTGGTCCCGTAGTCTCCAAATCGCCCATTTCCTGCGATCTAGAAAGACATTTATAGTTCTGCGAGTTCACAAATGTCGAACCTACGCTCATAGTGTGCTTGCAGCGTGTAGCGAAGAAGTTATTTTATATTGCTAATCTCAACTTATTGTTTTAAAAACAAAAGATATAGTATACCACACCGCTTGATTTGACCTAATATTTTATAGCTATGTTTAAGTACTATTCCGGATTGTTTTAAGATACTTTCAGTAGTAGGTAATTAGTATTGTCCAAAAGTGGTAGACCTTCTTTATAGTTTCTAGATGTTTCATTAGAAGTGAGATGACCCGTGTATCAATTGAGAGATATGCGAGTCAAGTGAATGAAATGTATAAAATTATATTCATGATGTACCGTTTTTATTACTTTCTTGCTACCTCTTACGCAGTGGAGAGAAAATTATTTTTTAATCTCGTTCTTTCTGATCAAAATGTTTGTTAAAACGTCACGAACATACAATATCTTCTATCTCTCTCTCTCTCTCTCTCTCTCTCTCTCTATATATATATATATATATATAGTAATATAGAGAGAGAGAGAGGGGAGAGAGAGAAGAGAGAAGAGAGAGAGGTGTGGTGTGTACAAAATGTGAATTTGATTTATAATGTTCGCCAAATGTTCCCTGGGCAAAAGATCAGGTAATTTTAAAAAGTTGAAACATTTTTAGGATTAACGACGCGACGAAAGCCGCAGAGTTCATTTATCTTCACACAATGTGAAACGGATATAGATTCCGTGCCTCGGATGTGAAGGGGGCCCCGTCGCATGGAACGCGCTGCGGACGTCCATCGCCTCCGACCCTTCGCCCTTTCACCCTTTGCGCCCTGCCCTTTGCGCGCTTCCATCTCGTGCGAGCGTGCAGCCTCCCTCTCCCGCCCACTCCCGTGGGATGCCAATCCTCGCGAAGAAACGACATCTGGGCAACATGTATTCCGCGCTGCGTTTACACATTGGCCTGGCGTTACAACAACGTCTTTTGAAAAGTGAGCGTAACTTCGTCAGTTCGTTCGTCACGGCCCCCGCTCAGGATGGGCTCAGGGTGGGTCTCTTGAATACTTTTATTACTTCGAACCAGAACGTCTACGTTTTTCTAAATTATGGATAAAATAGTGATTATATTGTTTGATGGATTATATTTGAATTGGGAATAGAACCACTACTCTCATATGGATTACACTGGCCTCTCCTATTATTATTATTATTATTATTATTATTATTATTATTATTATTATTATATTATTATTATTGTTATTATTATTGTTATTGTTATTATTATTGTTATTATTATTATTATTGTTATTATTATTATTATGTTTTTTGTTTTTGTTTAGCGAATCGGACATCATGGGTCCAAGCGATACGTGCATTCCATCGGGGTTCAGTCATGATTATCGGGTAAGTTCAAGTTACTTTTCTATTGGGAGGATGAGCACTTAATGCTGCGTCCATTTTTACACCCCAAGGTTGTAAGCCTTGTGGGGTGGGGAGAAATAATTATGAAAATTGATGATAATGATGAAATTATTAAATATACACACACAAACATACAGAGACACACATTATTGTTGTTGTTGTTATTATTATTACTAGGATTGAAGTGATAGGGTGATAAGGGGGAAAGGACTAGAATAATTGTGGGAAGGGAAGTGGGAGGTGTTCGTGGGATTTTTGGAACCATCCCAGTATTCGCCTTGTGATCAAGGGAAACCACAAAAATCCCGGACAGGATGGGTGGCCCGGGGATTGAACCCGCACCATCCGATTGCGAATCCAGCGCACTAAGCTTCTTCGCGCGGTATTATTATTATTATTATTATTATTATTATTATTATTATTATTATTATTATTACTTGATGACTCGTATTCAATCATTGAATGACCCAATTAGAATTGCTTATATTGGGATTGAGAATCGAATCACTTCGCAGTGAAGAAGAGAAGAGCGGGCTCGAAAAAGACATTGAGCACGGTTAATTCTTCTCTGTCTAAGGCATAGCTCCGGCAGCCCCTCTTGAAATGATGGGAAGAAACTATGGAAGTGATTAGAGTAGTCGTATTCTAAAATGATTCACATCTAGCCAGTGACATCACCCAAATCATCTTCATGCCAAGTCTCGAAAATATCCCACCATCGGGTGTCAAACATGTATATTTGTTTGTTACGCCCGCACACTTGAGTCAGATTCATTGGCAACCGCAGCGTGGGCCGAAAGCGTAGAGAACTTTTTAATTGGCACCCGATAGATTCCCGCATTCCCAATATATTTTGAGTCTCATTTTTCTGCAAAGTAACACTGCAACCTCAGTCTTAGAAATATTTAACCAAAGCTTGGTGCGTTCTCATACTAAGCAAATATGGAATGTGATTATGACAAGAATTGTCAAAGAATTTAAGTTTGCTGAACATTAGCCCGGATTTTTTATGTCCCAAGGGTTTGCCTTTTCTATGTACATCCTTCAATATCAAACCCGCGCTTTGAGGGTTGAAAGGCCAGTAAAGAAACCATTCATAAACCTATGTGCATTTATACTGAATGTCTCAGAATAAATGTTAGAAACTCTTTGGGATGAAGAGGCGTCGAAAATGTACACTTTTTGCCAATAAAAATATAGTTATAAATTTCATATAACAGATTTATGGTGCGGCATTTGTCTATTGTCCAATTGTTAGGCAACTCCTTTTGCCCAAATCTTTTGCAGGTCACGTGCTGTCGCAAAGAGAGATCATGTACCTGTTGAACACATATGCATAAGGTGTTAGAGGTTACCTAACATTCCCAGACATAAAACATCTGTAAGTCCGTAATATGGAAAGTCCCACTGTATTATCATTGGCAAAATGTTATATTTTCGACTATTGTACATACCTTAGAAGATTATAACATTCATTCTGAATCTTCTGGTGATAAACGTCACACAAAGCAAACGTTTATATCGATGTAGGAGGATAATGTGTTAGCTTTTAACATGGGAAGCTTGCTCGACCAACATCTCACGCAGAGAAATGATTATTTTGAGAAGGTTGGAATTTCATTTGTTTTCATTTTATTCATAATTAATATCTAGAAGATAGCGACAAAAAGGAGTTTAATTCGTACTTTAGTATGTTTTTTCTTGAAATGTTGAAGAGTAAAAGATTTCAACAACACCGAAATACCGACCACTGTCAGTTTCCGGACGTCACCAAGAGGACGCATTCCACGAACCGCAAGTTCTGATTCTAAGCCCTCTCGAACAACCCTGAGTCACGGCCCTGCAGCTACAAACACCAACTCGCCCATGGCTACCGCCTCTAGTAAACCGTTTGCCTCTCTCTGTCACCTTCAACGTCACTCCAAACGTCCCCAGATAGTTAAGAAGCTCCAGGCGGCGTTATTTCCGCAGAACTCGCCGTCGCACGCGCGCTGTGCATTAAAGTCCCACTCATTCTTCACTCCGCGCAGCGCTCACTTGCCGGACTTCTCGCATCGCCCGCCGACCCCCCCCCGCCGTTTTCCTGCATTCATCGCCTCGCTCCGTCCGCCGCCCCGCGTTCTTGCACGCCCGCGCAGAACGCCCCCGGTTGCTAGCACGCCGCGCCGAAGCGCCGCCACCGCTCTCCCGCGCTCACCGCTCCCCCCGCCTCACCCGCCTCTCCAGAGCGCCTCACCCGGCCCCCTCTCAGCCACGCCCTGCCGCCACACGGTTTCGCTGCCGCCCGCCCGCTTTCCGGCCGATCGTCTTGCATTGCCGCCCCGTAACGCCCCGGTCGCTTTGCCCCCACCTTGCCCGGGCGGCGCGTGCTGTAAACCTCGCGTGCTACTGCTACCTCCTCTGCGGGCTCTCTCACGCTCGCTCTGCGGCGCGCGACCTCAAACGGCGCTTCCGCCCCCTTCCGCCGCGCCGCGCACTGGGCCCGAATGAATTGGAAGGCGCGCGGTACACGTTGGGAATAAATATTATGAACTTCTAGAGCGTGCAGGAAGGTCGAAGATGATGACTTTTTCCCAATGAGCATGTGGTGGAAAATGCCATATAACGAAGGTACACACGAGACATTTCTGACATCGTGTTCTTGATTGGTAGCTAAAGCATCCTGCACTGGAGTTTAGCAGGTACATGAACTCCTTATTGATAATAATCATATTCAGGTTATGAAATTATGGTCCAGGTAATATATTCTAAGTCTAATACTATTATCTCTCTACTCTCTGTCTACTAATAGAAGTGACAGTATTGACGTTTCATGCACGAGTGATAATATCGATTCACATTCCGACGGTCATTAGTGTCTTTACCTGTTTCTGTGAGAGTTAATTTACCAAATAACCTGAAACGTTTACCTTTCAGGTGTCCACTGCCAGAAATGGCATTCCTTAACTTCGTTATATGGAATTTCCCACCTTACCCTCATTGACAAAAAGAGATCAACATTGTTACCTTATATGCACTAGAAATTTGCAACATTTATTCTGAATCAGTCTGTATTATCGAGCGCCGTGTTACAAGGAAACACATAAGTAGAATTCCGTACAGTTTCTATTGAAGCCGCAGAATCGTAGTATTCGTTGAACAGAATGTTAAGAGTGTACGGAGACTAAGAATAATAAAATTAAGTTCTAGTGACTGCACCGTCCTTGCCTGTGTGCTCAGCGTCTGTTAGGGATGGTATATGCAGCACTGATCGGCGGGAAATCTGTTTATGTTCGTATACTTGCACATTTTTGTCTAATTTCTATATATAAATTGAGCGGTAGCTAGAAGAAGGGCCTACAATCCAAAACTGTTTTGAGAAAATCTTATTGTAAGTGGTCGATTATAACATTCTACTCACTGGTCTATTCAATTACCAATTACATATAATTTTAATGTATTATAATCATTTTTAAACTTATTTCATTTAGAACGTAATTAAATTCTTCCTAACTTCAAACATGTGACGTAAAGAAAAAATGTGTTATATGCCCTTCTTCTGGAGAACACTTTATATTTATTATTGAAATGGTGTAAATTATAAATATTATTAAATTTTAATTTGTTTTTATTATAAACTGCTAATACGCTGTGGTAATAAACTGTGGTTTTGTTACCTATTTTCTTACTTCATAGATTATCTTGTGAGCTATCAGATTCAGACTCACATTTCCAGTGGACTCTCCTCAAAAACGTTTGGTAAATTTGTTTGCTATATTTCTTTATAGTACCATATAAGTCCTCAATATCTATTACTTTTTCTGGATTAAGTGGAACTCGAATGACGGGTTAAAGTGCAATATTCTGTGGAAGTCCCTTCATGTAATATGGCTCTACCAACCAAAAGAATAGAGAAAAATCATTTATATGTGTTTGGATATAGATTAAAGTAGGCACAATACATTTCTGGATTCTCTGAAAGAAGGGTCCCTAGTCCTATGAGGCCCTCTTCCAGCTACCCCCTCAATTAATTAAATACAAAAATAACAATAGTGATAACTAATAATAATTATGAATATTTTAGAAGTAACCGCAGATCTGCAAGAAAAAATGTCAACTGTTATATCTCTTCCCACGTAGATGCCAGTTATTGAAGAGTTTGTGCAATTTAAGCGATGCACTCTTTGCGAAAAAGAAGTTTAATATATGAATGGAATTAGAACGAGAAAAAGTTTATGATCGGAAGCAACATGAAGCAACTGATAAAACTTTTTGTAATTACTTAATTCGTGAACGTAAAGAGAACTTGTTAGGCGCGAACCAAATTATGGAAATACACGTTGGATGAAGTCAGAAACTACAGAGAAACTCCATTTTTCATGTAACGTTCTTCAGGGAGACCTAGCGTGTGGTTCGTTACAAAGAGCAACAAAAGAATTAATATTTCAACCGTGTCGCGAACGCGGTCGTTCCCAAATTATCAGTTGAGTAAGAAATTACGAAATAGAAACACTTTTCATAGAGCTTGTTTGACTGGCTTTTACTCGGAAAGTAGGTCACTAGCAAATAATTTGGTCTTCTGTTCTGCAGGACGAATTCGAGTAATAAGAGAATCATCTTAAAAAATGTTGTCAAGTTTCTTTTTCGAATACATCACAACTTCGAATTTTGACGATTATTTCATTTCATGTTTCTCGTAGAAAAAGTGAAACGAGATATATTGAGAACATTAATTGCAGAACTACCAGTCGATTTCTTTGAGAATTTGAATTATGAACGTTCAAATTGTAGGTGTAGGTACTATCAGAGTTCAATTAGATTCGAGTCATCGGGACTACGCCGACCGTTTTTCGGGGTATCACGGCTCTACTTATCGATGTGTGAAATGACGGTGTTCACGTTTTGCGGTTACGAGCGGAGACACCAATATTTAGGTGGTATATTTCTAACTAAACACTTTTCTCGGTTAAAATCCATCCATCGTGTGGTTACTTCAATCCCAT